ATATGTATATATGTATGTATGTATGTATGTATATATATATATATACACATACACACACGCGCACGTTAAATTATAATATATACAATTCATTTATAATTACAATTAGAAAGTTACATATGAGTTAGTTATCTGTATTGATAAATTGAAAATTTAACATCATATGTTAAAACTAAAACTATTTGTTGAATATGCTGCTTTGCAAAACAAGTAAAAAAAATGCATTTGCATGTTTGACAACTAATGGAAATAATGAAATGCTATTACAATGAATTTACATGGGCATTACTTTGGAGGCTGCAAAGTTCCCTTTACACACAAACACAGCACTGACAATCAAACGCAAAAGACATGTAAATACAAGCTATATCCTTTGCATTTAATTTTGTGAAAGCTCTACATCCCGACACACAGGTTACATATTTGTTTAGTTAATTAAGAATATCAGTATTTATTCCAGGTTGCCCATTCTCAGCTTCCTCCCATGGTACTTGCCATTAGGTTTGTGTAATAATATTACACAGAAAGCTTATATAGTGTTAAAGTCATAAATATTGATATTGATTAAAGTCAAATAACTGTAAGATTCATGTATGAACTTTAACATTATATCACAAGCCACCTTTAAATGAGGTCCTCTACCTTTTCACATATTCAAAAAAATACATGACAAGTTAGTCAGGAACTAGTAATAGGCCAATTTAAAAATTAATGTACAACAACATAAGGCCAATCTGGATGGTTTCTGCATGCATAACAAACTGCACCTCAATTAGGATCTGTTTCTAGGTTATTTGGAAACATTTACCAACCTATCACCTGTCTAGAAACATTAGACAGCAAAGATTATTCTTATAGGTCCTAACTTATTAAGTAGAAAGTGTCAACTTCTGTGTATGAAGAGAAAGTGAATCCTGTGGGGTTTAAATTGAGTGAAGTTCCCAGGCTCAGATGCTGTCCAACTCAACGGGGCATCTTACATAACTCAAGCTCTTTAAACTCGAGGCCTGAGCCAGCTAAATATCACTGCCTGGTCCAATACCCCAAACTATATGAGTGCAATTTGCTGTTTAGGCTGGTGACGGACCAAAACTGGATAATACAATCTATAAAAACAAGATCTCTGGCGTCAACGTTTAATGTCTCAAACGTACACTACATAAAAACCTGTCAAACTCTTGCATGCTGACTACCTTGACAGCATTTTTTTTTGTTATATGATTTCCAAAAGCGTCCATAATGGTCAAAAATGCCGTCTAGGTAGGCAGCTCAGTAGGCTGTGAGACACAACCAGTGTTTACTTGAAACAGCTGATCGATTATAAACATTATGATTACAGATAGATCTGTATAAGTGATTATTACTCATTCATAATAATACGACTCCATGTGTCGGAGCCTTTAATTGGATTGTATTTGAACTGTATTTAAAGCCTCGTTTAACCCAAATAATTATCGGACAGTCAAAGCCAAGAACAACCTAACGTTAATTAGTTAACGGCCAGTTGTCATTCTCCGTTTACGTGGTTTATTTTTAAACTATATTTAGCGTTTGACTTCACATGTATTAAAAATATAATTTAAACTACTTCTAGATTAAAGTTAAGCGTCACACCCGTCCACTTTATTTTGTTTCTTAACTTAAATCATGTTGATCGACGGTTCAGACCATAAACGCAGATCACTGACAGCGGCTTTTTCAGCAGCACAAACTCTCCCGTTTACCTGCGTCCCTCTGCTGAAGCCCCGGCCCGCGATCTGACTCTGCCGTATTCTGCTGAGAATATTTCTGTTTCGAGTCCGTTTCTTTCCTCCCATCCAAGGGGACTCGGGCCCCAATAGCGTCGCCATTACTTCGTCTTCCTGAACTGCTCCAAACAGGAAGTTAAAATCGTTCTGCCCTCGACGTTCACTGGTGTGTGTTGAGCGCCCTCGTGTGGAGGATATTTAAACAGGCCAGTAGAGGGCGCCATGCGCTGCGAGCTCAAATATATCTACTGAACGAGACATTGCCAAATCTGTATTTTATATGAATAAAAATACAATATTAAAATTGATTAAAGTCAAATAACTGTAAGATTCATGTATGAACTTTAACATTATATCACAAGCCACCTTTAAATGAGGTCCTCTACCTTTTCACATATTCAAAAAAATACATGACAAGTTAGTCAGGAACTAGTAATAGGCCAATTTAAAAATTAATGTACAACAACATAAGGCCAATCTGGATGGTTTCTGCATGCATAACAAACTGCACCTCAATTAGGATCTGTTTCTAGGTTATTTGGAAACATTTACCAACCTATCACCTGTCTAGAAACATTAGACAGCAAAGATTATTCTTATAGGTCCTAACTTATTAAGTAGAAAGTGTCAACTTCTGTGTATGAAGAGAAAGTGAATCCTGTGGGGTTTAAATTGAGTGAAGTTCCCAGGCTCAGATGCTGTCCAACTCAACGGGGCATCTTACATAACTCAAGCTCTTTAAACTCGAGGCCTGAGCCAGCTAAATATCACTGCCTGGTCCAATACCCCAAACTATATGAGTGCAATTTGCTGTTTAGGCTGGTGACGGACCAAAACTGGATAATACAATCTATAAAAACAAGATCTCTGGCGTCAACGTTTAATGTCTCAAACGTACACTACATAAAAACCTGTCAAACTCTTGCATGCTGACTACCTTGACAGCATTTTTTTTTGTTATATGATTTCCAAAAGCGTCCATAATGGTCAAAAATGCCGTCTAGGTAGGCAGCTCAGTAGGCTGTGAGACACAACCAGTGTTTACTTGAAACAGCTGATCGATTATAAACATTATGATTACAGATAGATCTGTATAAGTGATTATTACTCATTCATAATAATACGACTCCATGTGTCGGAGCCTTTAATTGGATTGTATTTGAACTGTATTTAAAGCCTCGTTTAACCCAAATAATTATCGGACAGTCAAAGCCAAGAACAACCTAACGTTAATTAGTTAACGGCCAGTTGTCATTCTCCGTTTACGTGGTTTATTTTTAAACTATATTTAGCGTTTGACTTCACATGTATTAAAAATATAATTTAAACTACTTCTAGATTAAAGTTAAGCGTCACACCCGTCCACTTTATTTTGTTTCTTAACTTAAATCATGTTGATCGACGGTTCAGACCATAAACGCAGATCACTGACAGCGGCTTTTTCAGCAGCACAAACTCTCCCGTTTACCTGCGTCCCTCTGCTGAAGCCCCGGCCCGCGATCTGACTCTGCCGTATTCTGCTGAGAATATTTCTGTTTCGAGTCCGTTTCTTTCCTCCCATCCAAGGGGACTCGGGCCCCAATAGCGTCGCCATTACTTCGTCTTCCTGAACTGCTCCAAACAGGAAGTTAAAATCGTTCTGCCCTCGACGTTCACTGGTGTGTGTTGAGCGCCCTCGTGTGGAGGATATTTAAACAGGCCAGTAGAGGGCGCCATGCGCTGCGAGCTCAAATATATCTACTGAACGAGACATTGCCAAATCTGTATTTTATATGAATAAAAATACAATATTAAAATGTTGAACGGAAATGTACAAATATACATATTAAAAGTCTGTTTTTTTTATAAAACCAGCTTTTTGATATATACGTTGCAGACAGCTGAAAAGACACTCATGGGCTATAGGAAACGTTTCAATCAAAATCAACATGTAATGACCTGCCTTGTAAATTATCATTTAGCATTTCAACATTACAGCACATTTCCAAACTAAATGTTGAGACTTAACGTTAAATGTCGTCTATTTAAAAAAGAAAGAGGCCAGTGGACTACTATTTGTGACAACAGTTTTTACCATAAACTGAATACAATGTCATAAATTAGCCTACTATAAGTTGTAAATATTTTGTTCTTATACTAATAAGAATAATTATTAATTTTTAATTTTAATTAATTGTTCTTTGTTAATATTTCTTCTCTCTGATATCACTGCTCTTTTGTTGATTTTGATTGCTTCCATTGTCCTCATTTGTAAGTCGCTTTGGATAAAAGTGTCTGCTAAATGTCTAAATGTAAATGTAAATGAAAGTATGGACTATTTCATAATACAGAGACAGCTACCTTATTTTCTATACATTTAAAGGGACTATATAATTATAGTACATTTTTTAAATTGCCCAGTCTCATATAAATCATGATCACAAAACATTTATGTCAGTTATCACCTAGGCCTACATGTAAAAGGCAGATTAAAAAGTTGAGCCCCATTTTGACTAAATAAATGACACATTATTAAAACGGTAGATTTCAAAATATTGTAACATTAAATGAAAAGTAAAATAAAATGCATAAAAAAAAAACTAGCACAATTTATTCCCCACAATTTTATTTACATAATTGTTAAGTTGCAAAATTATATTAAATTCTGTTACTTTGTTTGTATTGTTAATTTGTTTTCTGTTGGGTCCTACTGACCAACTGAGCAATTTATTCTGTAGTTTCCCAAGTTTATGCATCCTGTACACTATGACAGACACAAAACATAACTATAACATGAAAAAAACGTAATTAAAACATACAAAAACAATCATTAAATAATTAACAAAACATCATTAATCGTGCATGACACTGGGAATGCTCGTGTATTGTGATCAAAATGCCCACCAAATACCCAAAACATCTTTAACTTAACTTCACAAGTCTGTCCTGTGTTGGATGTCACTCAGTCCAATTCGACTCCTCTGTGACATAAAAATATGCTTTCATAGTCTCTCTTAGTCCTTCACTGACCAGACTCTCCTGGTCGGTTCCCTTTACCTGCCTTTGAATCACTGACCTGATGATAAACAAAGAAGTTATTTTATAGAAGAACTCAAATAAGCATCCTACTAAATTCTAGCAGAAGACTGGAAAGTGTGATCCAAAAATAAAAACTGAACATACCTGGACAAATCTCCCCAGTTAAGATTGGACCTCTGGATTGATATTGGTGAGGGTCTATGCACTATAGCTCTGTTGGAGTCATGAAGTAAGCAAGGTTCAGTCAGCTGACAGTATGCACCATTAGAGGACCCTGTAAATGGAAGAAATTAAGTGTTTCTACTCTCCGATTTATTTTAACATTCAGATGTTGTTTAAAATGCAATGGACTGTCTTTTGAAGGTGGAATAGGACTAATATTGAGTTTACAGCACCATTGCCATTTGAGCTTACGTGAGTAATAGTCCACCAACTGTGTGAGAGTGGAGAAGTAGTGGCTCTGGTGGATGTAGAACCAGCCGTTGTGGAGCTGATGGATTCTGTAATGCTTTACATTGTGCACATGGCCTATATCTTGTCGCATGGAAAGTGAGTAGGAACCTACAACCAAGGCAACACATTTGTTAAGGTTAAAGCAACTGAATGTATTTTTGTATATTTTAGAGCCCCCTACAGTTAAGTATGTGTGATTTCACTGTGGTAAATACATTGGATGGCTGTACACGTGCATTCGTTGCTGAGCTTTATCATACTGGCTCAACAAACTCCCAAAATAGATGTTTGCACCTTATAGAGTCAGTGTAGTGACATATTTAATTTTTGACGGGAATGAAAACGAGGCTGTGAAGAATGTAAGTACAGTGCGTTCAGATTGTACTGTTGTTTAACAAAGCCTACTGATTGTTCCTCTGGTGAAACTTGAGAAGAAAAAAAACTTTCAGTAGACAAAAACTCTATAAATCAGTTTTACATGTTCATTACATGATCTAGAACAGGGCTGTCCAAACTCGGTCCTGGAGGGCCGGTGTCCTGCAGAGTTTAGCTCCAACTTGCCTCAACACACCTGACTGGAAGTTTCTATGCCTATAGTAAGAGCTTGATTAGCTGTTTCAGGTGTGTTTAATTAGGGTTGGAGCTA